GCCCAAGTGAGCCGTTGAATCTCTCTCTTGGCCCGCTGTCCTCACGGCTGGGGTCGGTATGACGACTACGACGAAGGATTTCACGCGGAGGCCTCTCCATCGGTGTCAGTGTTCTCAGGTTCCGTGAATAACGTAAGAGTTGTGGTTTTTCAGGGGAGGAAAGTGACTCAATGGCGTGGGCCAGGTGGTAGACTCTATGTGACAGGAAAGAAAACGCTCAACAAATCTATGTACAATAAACTATAGGAATTTTGTTTTAATGTCACATGCATTCAATTAGTAAGCGTAAAAAAAAGTCGTATGATTAGGGTTGACCGAATTGCACCAAGGTTTTGTTTAAAGGCAAAGGCGGTAAATAGAATGATACGAACCTTTGGTTCCAAACTGAAAAATATGATGACAGTATTATTACTTCTGTCTGTAGGGTCACAGGCATGTTTTAGAAGCATAAGTGATATGATACGATTGATATATGTAGGTTGTAATTAATTGGTTGAGAATTACTCAATGGCGGCAGTTATCATGTGAAGTAAATTCAAAATATGTATATAACTATTAATTTTTTTCATTCACATGTTTAATTAGTAGTAAAAATCTAGATGATAGATTTTACATAAAATGTTTTGTTTAAATGCAAATGCGTTAAATAGATGATATCTCCCTTTGTTCCAATAAAACTAGATGCCCTTACTCTCTGTAGGTTATAGGCATTTATATATACTTATATGTATATATATATAAACTACAACATGTGTACACAAGTTTAAGAATTACCAATAACACTGATGATGACAATACTCATACTGTGGATAATTTAAATCTCTATTTGAACATAACTACAAACAAAAAACATATTTGAATAATGAGCAACAAAGAAAACACTAATGATGATCTGATTCCAACTAATTCAACACAACATCAATGTAGGTAGGTAAGTTTGATTAATTTGTCTTGTCTTGTCTTGTTATTTATTTATGTTTGTCAATTTTTTCAAAATATTATTGATGTTATTAGATTGTGATGATACAATTAGATTTTTGATTTATCACCTAATAATGTTCAATAATATTGAACAGTGTTGTTATTTGTTTGAATGGAAATCAATTATTTTTTTTAAAAAAATGACTGCAAATACTGTTGCTCTTTTTTTTCGAAAAAAAAATATTATAAATCTTACAATTAAATTAGCGGTGTCTATAGCATCGATTTTAAAAAAAAAACAAATCAAATTCAACACTTTTAAGGTATATTTACACTTAGTAATTTTGCAAAATACCACACACCACTAAAATCTTATGTCATCCTTTACTATTTCCATAAAACTAAACCTAAGATTGAACACAACCAATGAATCGTTAATTCTCAACTATTGCCATATTAGCATTGATCTACTCTTACAGCGCAAAGCGAGGGCTGCATTTCTACAGTTGAAAAACATCTGGAACTCCAAACAACTTCCAACCAAAACCAAAATCAGGATTTTCAATACAAATGTCAACACAGTTCTACTGTATGGAGTGGAAACATGGAGAACTACCAAAGCCATCATTCAGAAGATACAAGTATTTATTAACAGCTGTCTACGCAAAATACTTCGTATTCGTTGGCCAGACACCATCAGCAACAACGTACTGTGGGAGAGAACAAACCAGATTCCAGTGGAGGAAGAGATCAGGAAGAAGCGGTGGAAGTGGATAGGACACACACTACGAAAAGCACCTAACTGCATCACGAGACAAGCCCTCACATGGAACCCTCAAGGCAAAAGGAAAAGAGGAAGGCCAAGGAACACATTACGCCGTGAAATAGAGAAAGATATGAGAGAAATGAATAAACATTGGACAGAACTGGAGAGGGAAGCCCAGGACAGAGTTGGTTGGAGAAAACTGGTGGGCTGCCTATGCTCCATTGGGGGTAATAGGCGAAAGTAAGTAAGTAAGTAAGTACTCTTACAGCATTTAACTACCCTTTTTTGAACATTTAGAAACTAATCATAAACATTTTCAAATTGCCAGTACACACACGAAAACCAATTGTCAATAAATTAATTCAAAGTTAGTACAATTGATAGGTGGTGACATACAATAAACATAAAACTTCTGTGTACATAGTACTAGTGTTCATGTAAACTAACCGTTGGATCAATAGTCAAAGCATAATGAAGGCATAAATAAAATCGTGTAATATATTCTTCTGCTAAACAACCACGTTGAGCATAGATCATTATACGACATAAAATACCAAGAGCTTCAGCACGACCAACTAGAAAACGATTACCATCGATCAGTTTAGCTCGATGACTGATCACAGTGACTGAAAGAAATAAGATGAAGTACATTTGAAAATCATATCAAATACATTGACAAACATGAAATAGAACAAAAATTAATCAACTTATTGGAAGAGAAAATAACAAGAAAAGTGAAAAATAATTTCTCTCTTTCTCTCTCTCTCTCCGCTCAGAATATTTTTATTGATTTTTGATCGGAATAAAATAAGTATTCATTGAAATAATCATGAATCGATCAATGTTAGACTACCATCAAAAACCTGGAAGCACACTGGAAGGCCATTCCGTTCAGGTATGGGACTCAATAACGATGCGCATCCACGACTCCTGCACGTCGCAGGACTCGAACCCAAAACCTTCGGTCTTGTCGGTCGACCTCTGGACCACTGAGCCAGTATCTAACGGTGTTAATGTCTAACTTCGATCAATTTACGATCTTGCGCAATCTCATCCATTGTCTTCGGTGAGCACTGCTGCACACCCGAACAAGGTTGTACTCCACTAGTCACTAGTGAGCACAGGTAATTGCATTGTGAGGTAGTGAAGATTGTTAAGTTACTCACTGAAATCATGAATCGATCAGAGGTTAGGCCTAAGGCCTTGGATTTGAATCTTGAGAGTGGCAGGAGTCGTGGAAGCGCACTTTTGATGAGTCCCGTACCAGGAAGAAACGGCCGTCCAATGTGCTTTTCAGGTTTCCATTGCTGGTCTAACACTGATCGAGTCATGATTTCAATGAGTAAATTAACAATCTCCACAACTTCAAAATAAAATAATTATTTCAGTTAAGTCTATTATAACAAAACAATAATAAACAGTTTAATGATTTGCAATTGCCTAATTTGGATTAAACTGTTAGAAATGAATACAAATATTAGCATAGATAAATAAGTGTTAAGTAAATGTTATCGAAATTAGTTTATAACAGAAACACCAACACCAAAAACAACAACAAAAGCTAAAATAAATCTCGTAGAAATCGAAACCAATGAGGTGTTTGTGCAAGAAGTAAACCAAAAAAATGAAAAGATATTAAATAATAAACGTTTCGAAAGAAAAGTGTATGAAGAATAGTGAAAAGTTTAGCATGGGAGTGAAATATGATGATCGAGTTGATTTATGCTAAATATCGTTATTGGTACTGAATTATATTGTAACGTGTAGTATAACATATCGAGGCTACATGGCTTGTCTCAGCCTTTAGGACAAACAAACCAATTAATTTATTCTTCTTGAGTTATTCATACGTCTTTCAACCTCGTCAGTTATTTGATTATAACCTTGGTTGTTTTTATTTGTGTGTGCACGCTTGCTTCGCCTGTTATATGTGTAGCCTATTCTTGCCTAACTATAAATATTTAGTCGTGCTTTATAGTATCGAGCTTGCACAATTGCCTTTCCCGCTTTACTTTGCTTTCAACAACCGTCGTCGTACAAATGGAATCCGCCTAAGAATGGTATCCACATTCAGTTGTTCGTAGTAAGCATATACACTCAAAAAAACAAAGTCTATATTCGAACCATAGACAAGGTCAAAATACATGTGAATAACTCAAGAAGAATGGAATCATTGGATTGTCTAAAGGCTGGGATAAGCCATATGGGCTCAACGTATTAACACACGCTATAATATAATTCGCATCACTGAGCACTAGTTTCTATTATTCTGAAAACATCCCATAAGACAACATTTGTTTCGAGTGATTCAGGCCAGCAGACTATCATTAGGTTATACCAACCTAATTAATTCATCGAGTGTTGGAAATAAAAGTCCATAATGTCTTGATAAGAGATACACATTGGGACAAACTGCATTAGTCAGTGAAAGTTAACAGCATGATAGATTGATTTACTCCTGTTGTCCATATTCAATCAATCAATCAATCAAATACATAAAAGGTAGTACATAGTGGTCAAACAGTTGTTCGGTAGGTCAACATTTGATAAATACCAAATGAGCTCATAGATTTTAGCCAGTATTCTATTAGCAGTTAGCACTGACGGACCCTTTCAAAAGAATGAAATAAAAATTCTTAGATTCTCATTTGAGGCATTTAAAAAACCATTCATCTTATAAACATTTTCGTCTAACAGGTCTTCGATGCCTACAGAGATAGTATCCTTGCATACCACTTCCACTACGTAACCATTGCATTAAAAAGAATTGCCCAAAAAGGATAAAAACGAAGACGCCATATATAAATATGTATTTTTTTTTCTGGGTGCCTGTAGAATACATTTTCTACGCCTCATCAAAACTTATCACGTTTGTTAGCGGGGCCTGGGACAATCGGATGTCTCTGCATCATTTTTCCGCTCTCCGTTTACCGAGTAAGGTGGACTCGTAATAGTTTCGAGTATATCAATTGACGAGCATATTACGACTTTTACTAGGATCCTACTGACGAAAAAATATAAGCCTAAAATGAAGGTATTTCTAAATTTGTAGTTCATTTATTGCTGCCTCATTTTCTCCGTTAAAAAACACTTATACAAAGACAGCAAATTCGCTATGAAGTATAATTTAGGTTAGATTGATATAACTGAAACAACTGGATCCTGTGAAATAAATGTGTTATTTAAAAACTCATGAAACATTAGTAATGATATTAACAGGCAAAAAGTATGTTACAATTGGGATGATTTAAAAAGGGAAACGATTATAACAAGAAGCTCGTTGATTAGTTAGTTAGTTAGTTATTGATTACGATAAAATTAAGAAATTAGAATTGGATTGTCACTTCAAGCCTATTATCAAAATTTTAGCGATTATACGTCACGCATAAAAACATTTTAGAAATAGTTCAGTGATTCCATTTCGAACAATGAGGTAAATTTTTATCAAAAAGCAAACTTCAGGACATTAAAGATTACAAAATAATAATTGCTGAAAATTGTTAAATAACATAATATACCTAGACCTACAGCTTGCTACTACTGACTGTCCGACGCTAGCTACCCTAATTATTTAAACAAAGTATACTATAAATTTGAAGTTACTTAAACGACTATAAGATTAGATTAGGAATTAATTAAGAGGATTCAATGAAAAAAGTATGAATTAAACAACATAAAACTGATTACTGTTAAGTAATTGGTTTCATATTGACTAATTAGCGAATAGTTTGACGAGCCATTAATTTTTTTGCACATTGAAATCACTAATCAATCATCGTTGGACCACTATTCAGAAACCTGGGAGCACTGGACGGCCGTTTCATTCTGGTATGGGACTAGCTTCGTGAGGAAATTCTCGGAGTTCTAGTGTGAAGACATGACCATTGGAGTTCAACTATATCGGATGTAGGCAGTAACTGAGAAAGACAAATGGGTGAGGTTGCGCAAACTCCCTAGATTGATCAGAGTTAGACATTGAGACCGTTGGAGGCCGGACCATTGATCCAGAGGTTAGGCGTTCACGTGTAAGACCTAGGATCCTGAGTTCGAATCCTGCGAGGTACAGGTGTCGTGGATGCGCACTGCTGATGAGTCCCATAACGGAACGAAACGACTGTCAAGTGCTTCCAGATTTCTAATGGTGGTCAAACAATGATTGATTGATGATTTTTTTAGATCCCTAGAACTCGCTTGATGAATGCCTTATTTTGGATTTCACGTTTGCCAGCATGGGATGACCATTTCACCTTGAGATTTCATTTCCCACTACGAAAATCCATGGCTGTGATTGGCTGCTGTGTATTTCAGTGTGCTGTTTTCGTTACTGTCCCAAGGACGTTTCTATGATGCATAAATAAACGAGAGTTGTGTGCCTGATTGCATTGTGATTGCTGGGTATTGTAAAATATACTCCTACGCTTATCAAGACTTCTGTTTTGCAGTTTGGGACTCAAGGTAGCCTACCTGGACGCTGGTAATTGTCTCGTTTGCGTTTTATCGACTACGATGAACTCGTAATAGCTTCAAACGTACCTAGTGACGAACATAACAGATTTCAGTGCGCAAAAAAACACTAATCTCCTTAACTCTAATTGAAAAAAGCCATTTATTGTTTTTTCTGTATCCTAATCTTATTAACGCGGATAGTAATCATTACGATTTGGGTGAGACTCAACTCTTCAATGATTTATTTACTGATTTTAGTTATGATAATTTATAAACTAGTTCTTTCATATCTAGTTTATAATTACTAAAGTATTCAGGTGAAGTAAATATAACATAACTGTTTTTTTCATATCAATGATTAAACTCTACAACTTGATAACTATTAGAAATTTCAATGGAGTATACAAATTGCAGAAAATGAAGCAAACAAACACACACACACGCACAAAAGAACGAATGAGTGATTCAACTAGTTATTCGACAATTGGTGTTAGCCTAAGTAAGTATGCAAAAACAAAAAAAAACACTTAAGCACAGTGGTGAGTGAGTGAGTGAGTGAGTGAGTAAGTAAGTGAATGAAAGTGAAATCATGACAATTAGTAAATTTGTTAAGTATTGTTAATAAAATTCTTGTCATAAGTTGACTGAACAAAGAAACAATAATTCTATAGAAGCATGTGACTATTTGTTGAAATATCTTTTGCTATAGCCGATTCGGAATACAAAGGATAACGATTGAAGTAAATTGATTTATGTAGTTGATACTCAACATTATCAGATTAAAAAAGGACTCTCTATCCATAAGACCAATGCTTATCATAGATTACTTCCTAGTATATAAAACAACAGTAGTATATTATATATTTTAATCTTAAAATCAACCAAAAAACGTTATTCTTCTATTGAATAAAAAGAAATAAAAAATACAGTTTACAGAAAAACAAGTGATCTTTTTTTTCATAAACAGAAAATTTAACATTAAAAATTGAACATCGGACATAAACAATAATAGCATAATATTACAAAAAATCGACTTACAGTGATCATCTACAACAAATAGGCGGCAAAACAATAGAATAGATTGTATGTATGTATGTATGTATGTATACCTTACAATAATTAAATTCAATGTTCAATGTGTATAAAAAAGAAATTACCTGTTTAAAAAAGGACACTGCTGACATGATTAAAACAATACGGTTGTAATGATGATAAATACCAACAACAACAACAACAACAACAATAAAAAACAACAACTAAGGATACTAAGAACAAACATGAAACAATTTAAAATAAACAAACAAACAAACAATCACTACAAACTTTTCTAATTAAATAAAAACAAAAGTTAAAGGGATGTAAAGAATTGTAATGTTCTTCAAATGTTCAATAAAATAGGAATGTTCAATGAATCGAGTTATATGGAACTAATGAGTTTTCGATTTTAAAAATAGAATTAATAAGCAGATTAAGTGACAGTAAATTTTCAACTGAACAAACAAACAAACAAACAAAAAGATCAACACTTAAAAGTTTGATCCTAGCATAAAAGGACTGAAAATGTAAAACTACTATTCAAACTTTAATTCTCAAACCTAATAACTCTATGTTCAACTAGGAAGATTTCAAGTTTAATTGACATATCAGCTACCTACCTACAAAGTGCTGATTGTTTTTTTTCCAAAACTAAGTAACCTGGTAATGCTTACGGAAGTTGGAAATACGTTTTGACTTAATCCATTAATCGATGGAAATTCAATGATCAACAGCGTAAGAACTGACACAAATTACTTCAACTGATATCACAGAGCATAGAGAAGAAAGCAAAATAAACATTGAAACAACAGTAGTAGTATTGTGGTGCGCGCTACTTATAAGTAGTATATGACGTGAGTGTCAACGTAATGTCTGGCAGCAGAAGATGGGGGAAGATCAAGAAAGGAAGAGTGGGAACACAATGGAATTTGTATGAAACGCATGAATAGTGAAATGTCAGACAATGGATTGATAATTGATTGAAGATTTGCAAATTAACTGTTACAATATGATTTTCCTATTTTACTGAGTAACTCTGTAATTTTCGTTAAATACAATTCAGTTGCCCTCATCTGTGTTCTCCTTCACTACAGTATCAATGTGAGTAAATATAAAAGTGAGTTCAGTTCAACAGAAGAACGGATGAAATCAAGACGTAAAATGTTATGCTCGTCTAATGATATGCTTGAATGCTATTACGAGTTCAACTTAGTTGGTAAACGAGAGCGAAGACAAAATAATCCAGTGACACGATAGGCTATTCTAATCCGAGCGTCCCACGCCGTGCCCCCACTAAGTACAAAAACAAGCCTTGATATGGAGTAGAAAGTGTATTCTACAAGCATTACAGAAAATATGAGGTTTTGTACAGAAGAAAAAGAAGGATCATATTTATACAGTTAGGTTGACCGTGAATACTAACCAATAGGAAGCAATATTTAAAGTATGTGAACTTGATAGTTAAAACGACCTTTAAATATTGACCAATAGAATTTAGACTAACAAAATAATATCAAAAGGATATCTGATGCATATCCTAACAGTAAGGAACTGTGTAAAAGCACTTAAAACACAAGATTAACAAGAAAATAGAAAATATTTTTTTACATGAATAGATGAAAATCAGTAATTTTATTTTAGCAAAAGAACTTTATCAGTAGTGTATTGAACTGAATCAATTAAAAATATATATATATATCTAATTGAAATTATTCTAAAAAATCTATAAATATCGATCGATCAATTATTGTGTAACATTTACTCTAATATACTCAAACATCATCATAGTTAAGTAAAAAAAAACAGCATAGATTTGGTTATTTCAACAAATTGTTCTTGTCAAAAACTCTAAAATCAATATGCGCAAAACAGCAAGTTCCGTTTCAAAAAGGCTTTAAACAATATTCAACTAAAATTATAATCAGTATTTATCATAAGATGATGATTACAAAATACCGCAAGATATTCAAACTATGCAGTAGAATTTATGCAACAAGTGTAAAACTATCAGATTTAAAAAAAGGGGGATCAATGTTCAATATTTATCAATTATTTAATTAAAACAACGATTGAACAGAAAACAAAAATGCATTGCAAATTAAATAATACTTACCAGTTAAATCTTGTTTTGCTCCTGATATTGATGCTTCAAAAAGCCAAACACCAAATAATTGTAACAATGAATTAATTTCTGGTCTATGAGGATTTAACATGATTTGAGTATCAGTGGATAACCAATTAATAGCTAAACTTTGTAAATGTTCAATTTGTGGATTTTTATTCATTAAAGATAATAAAGGTGGAATATTTCCTAATTTTTGATTTGTTGATTGTCCACTTAATGAATTAGTTGATAATTGTAATGATGTTTGTGAATTTGGTGTTTGTGTTTGTTGAAATGTGTTTGTCAAAGAAGCATTCATTTCAATAGGAGTAAGTGAACTATTATTAACATGTGGAACATATGCTGAAATACTATTAGATGAAGTTAATCCAGATTTTGATGTTCCAGAATTTCCAGCGGAGGCAAGAATCCCGGCAGATGTGACGACGCTTGCTAATCGAGATTTTCCTAGGCGGAAATGTCAATATACACGGTACAGAAATAGTTTATCAAACCATAGTAACTTTGTTTTAATAAAGAATATAAAAGTAACATAACGTAGAGAAAAATACAATTAGTTTATTTATGTTAAAAAACCGATCTAATACCTACATTAGTCAGAGAAAACATCCACAAGAAACGCAGCTGAGTAATCGGGCATAGGTCTATGTGTTCAGATTTTAGTCACACTTTGTTTGCATGATATATCGATTCTACTAGCATTCTATTCACTTCAGTCTGAATCAAAGTGATTAAAACACAGCTTGAACCTTTAAACCAATGGAGATCTAAAGTCTAGTGTACAAATTATTAGACCAATAGGCCTTAAAAAAAGTAATAAAAGCTTTGTCCTGCATAATGTATATCTAGTTTTGTAAATATGATTCTGTTCGAGATTTTAGATCCTCAGAACTCGCTTGATACATGTCTTTATTTTGGATTTATTTCATGGACCGATCAGTTGACCTTGAGAACATATTTCCCACCAGGAGAATCTTTGGCTGTGATTGATTACTGTGTAATTTTAGTGTGCTATTTTGTAACTCTCCCAAGGACGTGTCTATGGTGTATGAATAAAAGCGATTTGTATGCTTGGATTCAATATGCGCTGGCTGGGTGTTTGTAGAATACACTTCCTACGCTATATCAAGACTTCTTGCTGGTACATTTGGGACAAGGGATCACATTAGCCTACCTGGAGACTGGTTCATTGTTTTGTCCTCGTTATTCGACTAAGGTGAACCCGTAATAGTTTTAAGCATACCTAAAGACGAGCGTAACAGATTCAGACACTGTTGAATAAATATTAAATCTATTTGTTTTTCGAAATTTGTTTGATGTTAGCTATAATAAACTTTGGAAAATTTCAAAACATCTATAATTCACTCAAGGATTCTTGTTTCTTTTTTTTTAGAAAAAAAAATTTGAATGATTACTTATGAGATTCTATTTGAAGCCGTATACAAAATCTCAGTAAGCTAAGCTGGTAAGTATGGACGGTAATGTCAGTCAGTCAGTCAGTTAGTTACATAAGACGGTAATGTCTTATAAACGCAATTCTAAAAGAATTATTACTCGGTAATTTGAAAACGTTGTTAAATTCGTCAATTCTAATTAGTAGTCACTTGCTATAGTGGATTATTTTATTCAACCGATTGTTACGTGAACTTATTATTATTGCTCAAAGTCTGCAGATCACTCTACAGGAGACGATCACTCTGGGGCATTACTGTTTAAAACAATTTAAATGTCCAATATTAACACACTAAGCATAGGTAAAAAGTGAGTTATCAATAATTTCCACAAGATTTTTAGATGGATCCAGTCAACTGTTAAATAGTTAGTAAGAGGTAAATGTAATTCCCATTGTCGCAGAAACAAGTAGACAGGTGAGAATTCAAAGACAAGCTAGCTGCTGACTACGCTACGTAGTCTAAAATGTGTTTATTTCCATACATCTGAAAACGGATTAAATAAGTAAATACAGTGTCTTTAGTACCTGAATTAAAGTAGATTGGGAATTGTGGTTCCATCTCATGAATGTGTGATAAAACCGGTTTAAAACCAAATGCTTGAAACAAATTATACACATACATCTTGGAAATAAGTATATTTTGCCAAGTTTTACACAACTATCATAAACCTTACATATACTATGGGAATAACCCGACCGTAGCTGCTACCTTGATGTAGTGATCGGGATTGCTTATCGTGATGACTCATCCAAGCTATATTGGCTGCAACACATATTACTGTGGGTTCTACCATACCAGGTAGGTCGATTGGAGAACGATGAGACTAAAAGCAGCTACCCAAGGTCTCAGGGCGAAGTCGTACTGCTGACTGCAGACGAGTGTGACAGCAGTAAGGTGTTTCTCTCGGACAACCAGCATCTGCAGCGATGCTGCCTTCTCACAATGAAGGAAGGGTTAGAAAAGGTCGACCCTAAAAATGTCACACCTCACCCTACCTCAACGGATTTCCGTCTCCGGCGGTAAGGGTGCCCACTAAGGGCTTTTAAGAGCGGAGCTAATACTCTAAATACCTTTCATAAAAAGGCCGTGAGTGACCGGCCTCAAGCAGTTGTCCCTTGGGCTCTGCGGTCACGCAACCAGCTTTCCAAGACCAACGCTAATCTACCTTCCTTTTCAGGTCCCTCAAGAAACAACCTTCCACGGTGTGGGCAGCCGGGAAGTGACAACCGCCCTCATACCCGTAACAGCACACGAGACCAAATTGGTCAAAATCAAATCCTTCTTACACCCCCTAATATCTCTCTTATCTCTACGACTAACTCTAGTCGCATTCCTTCAGCTCACTGCACCGCTAATGCAAACGATGCGAGTCCACGAGACGTCGTTCCTAATTTCCTTAAACCCCGTTCTAAACTACATATTGGAGCATTTAATGTCTGTTATAGGAATAATGTAGTATTCGAATATAGTAATACGAAAAGAACATAACCACAGAGATTGAAGAAGCACATTCTTTGAAATGATTATGAAAACAAAAAAATAACCAGTACTACACAGTAGTAAATAGTTTTTTGATTAAAATTATTTTCAATTAAAATAACTACTACTTACTACTTGCTTTTTCTGTGGAAAAACTACCAGCAGTTAAACGTGATCCACCTTGAATACTTGAAAAACCTGATAGAACAGCTTTTCTAATTTCTTTTATATGATATAACATAAATAAAATAAATCAGTACTTGTGTTAACCGATTGTTTGTAAACACAGATAAAAAAGGGTTATGTAAATGAATATACGTTCGTAATACTTGAGACGTAAATAAAATGAATTATATATAACTAATCCCGTGGTTTCCTTGTGTAATGAAATTTTCGCAGTGGAAATTACAAGCATTTTACAATACAATGATTGTTTGAAGCTGAATAACTAAATATATGGTCATTTACACGATATTGTTGAGTAGTCTCTTCTTATTCGAGAGAGAGTGATATGATCGAAACTGATTCGAATTGGTATCTATCTTGATCATTGAACTACGCGGAAGCATTTGACAGTGTGGACAGGGCGACAGTATGGCTCTTCTGTCGCACACGCAAAAACAAATGCAAGAGAAGACGACCAGTGTAGCAGCAGCCTCTGCAGCAGTAGGTCTCAACATACATAAAGGAAAAAAGCACAATTCTCCGATGCAACACAACATGCACCAACCAAATCACGCTTGATGGAGATGCCTTGAAGGACGTAAACACCTTTACATATCTGGGCAGCATCATAGACAATCAAGGTGGATCTGATGCAGATGTGAGGGCGCCGATCGGCAAAGTAAGGGCTGCATTTCTACAACTGAAAAACATCTGGAACTCAAAACAACTGTCAATCAACACGAAAGTCAGAATTTTCAATACAAATGTCAAGACAGTTCTACTGTATGTAGCAGAAACTTGGAGAACTACGAAAGCCATCATTCAGAAGATACAAGTGTATATTAACAGTTATCTACGCAAAATACTTCAGATTCGTTGACCAGACACCATTAGCAACAATGTAATGTGGGAGAGAACTAACCAGCTGAGGTGGAAATCAGGAAGAAGCGGTGGAAGTGGATAGGACATACACTGCGAAAAGCACTCAACTGAGTCACAAGACAAGTCCTCTCTTGGGACACTCATGGTCAGGTTGAGAATAGGAAAGCCAAGGAAAGCATTACTCCGAGAAATGGAGACAAACATGAGAAAAATGATCAAAAATTAAACAGAATTGCAGAAGGAAGCCCATAACAAAGTAGGCTGGAGAATGCTGGTCAGTGGCCTATGTTCAATTGGGAGTAACAGATGTAAGTAAGTAAGTAGCTTGATTATTGAAAAGCCAAGTGCTTCAACCAATAAGCTGATGCACAGTTACAAAGAATTCAAGAACTAAACCATCATCATCATCATAATCAAATTATTATATTTTTATGGTAATATCCTAATCAGTAGAAATCTGTAGTTCTAATGTTTCATGACTTCTTCAAACAAGTCACTATTTCAGAGTAAATAAATAAATAACCGAAATTAACACAAGTTGAAATAGCTAAAATACAATATTTTTAAATACAATCAATATCATACTACGTCTAAACATAACAAAGTCATGTTATTTTCAATCAACCGGATTCAATGTGAAATGTTAAACCATTTATGTGAAATTCAAACAATAGGGGAATAAATAATAATTTAAAAATTGAATGTAATATTATCAATAGGATTGTTAGGGGCGGCCATACCAAAACATGGAACGAATCCATGAAGTCACTGACAAGTGGACTGAGTCATGTCGGTAGGTGTCGACTACCTACCTGGATGGGGTCCGCGAGATGATAATAATCGACGGTTAGAGACCCTGAATGACATGGCTCAAAATCGTTTGCAATAGCGCAGATGTATTCATTCTTTGTGTTCTCTCAAATCCTAAACTTTTTAATTCTTCATCACTTTATCTTTATCTTTTTATGTCTATTTCACTAGATTCTACTTCTTGAATCACATCTAATCCTAATCTCTCCGATGACTGCCAATACCTTTACTACCTCTACTACTATGGGATTAGAGTTGACAGTTACATCTCTGTGCTAATGTGGTATGGCAACATGAACTGATGTACGTACGTACGTACGTACGTAGGTAGTTTTACGTTGCTACTGATTGATTGATTGAACAGGATTGCTAGTCAACTTATTCAAACTAAATAAATAAATATTTATATTGAAGTATAAGAGGATGGTTGTTAACATGCATCCAATTATCAGAATAGTGTATAAAATACATCATCTCCTGAATGCATTTCATAATAGCAAGCAAATATAGTGAGGTGTAGAAATTTTACTTAAATATCATTAGATATAATAAAATTAGACAGGAAAAAATATACATAAACTTCATAGCTAATAACGTCACGTTATAAAAATTGCATTTTTTTAAAAATACAGTTCAAAACAACACGTTACCATCATCATTGTTCACAGTTTCTGTATCTGTATATTTTTGAAATGTAGGATAACTCTTCAATAATCGACCTATAGGACCATACAATTCAGGGATCACACCAACAGATGGGTCAATACCAATGGCAAGACTTGGTTGAATACCTAAAAATCCATCCACAATCATTGATAGGCCACGTAATGCTTGATGATATATATAAGGAAAATAGATAGATGTCCATCGAATTCGGTCGTGACAATTGTATTTTCTAAAAGATAACAAATATATATAAATATTTGCATTACGGGAATTGATCAAGTTAGACATTAACACCGTTAGATACCGGCTCAGTGGTCTGATGGTTAGGCGTTCGCCTACAACGCTGAAGGTCCTGGGTTCGAATCCTGCGGGGTGCAGGAGTCGTGGATGCGCACTGCTGGGGAGTCCCATATCAGAACGAAACGGCTGTCCAGTGCTTCCAGGTTTCTAATGGTGGTCTAACATTGATCGATTCATGGTTTCAAAAATATATATATATATATATATCCCAACATGATGTATGCCAAATGATGTAAACTGAATCATGAAAAGATCAATATGATTTGGATATACAGATAACAGTCACATTACAGATCTATCAATTTGGAAGTTGATAAAGTTAAAATGAATTGTACATAAAAGTACATATACTTCGAGAGCAGTAATCAGTATAATAAGCGAACAATCAACAAGAATAATAAGAATTAACTTAAACAGGATTCATTAGTCAATATAGTGTTGGTATACATTCAATGGATTGATGAACACTGACGTATAATTACAAATTATTTACAAATTAAGTTTGTTCCAATCATCTACCTATATAGAGAGAGATAGAAAGTTATGTTAAATAGTATAATATAAATGTCATGAATAAATTTCATTTTTATAGGCACACGATCTCTTACATACTTTCATGATACTTTTGTAGAGTGCAAAACTCAAAGACTAAACTGATATGTGATATGCTCGCCAAATTGTTATGCTTGAAACTATTACGAGTTCACCTTACTCGGTAAATGGAGAGCAGATAAATGATGCAGCGACACGATAAACTATTCTAATCCGATTGTCCCAGGCACCGCTAACAAAAGCAAGAAGTCCTGATAAGGCGTAAAGAATGTATTCTACCGGCACCCAGAAAATATGAGGTTGCTAAGCACACAAATCAAGCTTATTCACACAATGATAGAAACGCCCTTGGTGAGAGCCGAAAAAATAGCTTACTAAAATAATCTATCAGCCAATGATAGTCAAGGATTTTGCGAGTGGGAAATGTAAGCTGAAGGTCAACTAAGTGTCGATTAGCGTGAAATCATAAAAATTCAAAATTTCAGAAATAAAAATTACAAAATTAGGACTTTTTCCAAGTGAACTCCGGGGATCTAACGACCACAACAATATGGTAACCTAGTTAACAACTATCCGCATACTTGTCATCATGACTGAACTTGCAAAATTTTATTACAAGCTGTTAGTCTATGTATATATATATATACATATATATTACATCACAATACACAGTTTACGGAAGGAAAAATTCCTATCTGATAGTTATTGTTCTGTATCAAGATAATTCAGCATAGATTAACATGTGAAATGGATTGATATTTCATAAAACAAATTAGTTATCAGGTTTTACCAGTCTTCATTTCATGTCAGTCAGTCAGTCAGTCAGTTAGTCAGTTACAACGCACAACTTCATACGTACGTACATGAGTTCAGGTTGTCATACCACATTAGCACACAGACATGCAATTATCACTTCATTTCATGTTTATCAAACGTTAGATTAGGAAGCTGTTAACGTTACTTGTATTCATTATTGTTTAGCTAGTGAATACTACTTACTATTGAATAATAATAATAATAATAATAATAATAATAATAATAAATGATACCTACTTATTTTGTTTTATTAAAACGAAATGTGTACAATATTATTGAATAAACATTCATCAACTGATGATAATAATATAATGCAATTATAAAGATGACCTGATTTTCATTGTTATCAAATAATCAATGAACCAATAAACAATAATAATAATAATAATAATAATAATAATAATAGTAATAGTAATAATAGTATAATTCTCTGTTATTTGTAATCCAGTTATTCATTTAAGAAAAAACCTTAACTATTCAACTATACATGAAACCCTAACTATGTAAGTCAATGCTAAGAAATTAATTGGCTTATTTAAAATATAAATATAAAGTAAGCTGAAAATATTAGCACACAGAATTGATAGACACTGGTCTCTAATTCGCATCGTTTTCAATCAAGATGTTAACGTTGTTGAATACTGGCTCAATGGTTTAGTGGTTAAATGTTCGCATGTGCAATCAAAGGTTGAGGGTTTGATTTTTAGCTGCGAGGTAGTGAACGTACACTGTTGAGCAATCCCATATTGGGACGAGACAGTCATTGGTTAATGGTTTAAAACAATGCAAACTTAAAATGATTAATCATTTCAAATGGATATAATTGATAACGTCTATTAATTTTATTCGGATAAATTATAATAGAAAATATTTTTATTCTCTCCATTATAATATGAATGGTTTTCAAAAAAAATCCTTTAAAATTATTAAGTTAACGAAAGGTATTTATGAAGATGAAAAATGAAGTGAGAGAAAGTGGTTCAGTTTTCAATAATGAAAATTGATATTAAACTAATTTATCCAGTAGACTATTCTCCCTTGCTTGTTTTATAATCTGTAAAAGCTTATACTTGGTGTCACAGAACTCATAATGAGTTTTGAAAGTGCAGTTTGAAAATTTAATAAGTTTACCTTAAATTAATTAATACAGTCAGTCAGTTAGCCAATCAACAACAAAGTAGAACTTCGTACATACGTACATCAGTTCAGGTTGCCATATCACATTAGCACAGAGATACAATTGTCAATTCAAATCCCATAGTAGTAGAGATAGTAGAAGTATTAGCAGTAATGGAGAAGATTAGAGTTCGAAGATATTATTCAAGAAGTATAACCCAGCTAACTAAACTTTAAAAAAAGAGAAAGATAAAGGTGATGAGTTATTCGAAAGATTAGAATGTGAGCAGACACAAAGAATGAATGCGTCTGCACCATTCCAAACGATGTTGAGCCATGTCACTCAAAGTCTCTAACCATCGGTTAGTATCGTCTCGAGGACCACAACCAGATAACCTACAACTACCAACATGGTTTCAGTTCAGTTGCCGATGACTTAATGGATTTGTGCCATGTTTTGATCTGACCGCCCCATAGCTTTCTTCCAGCCTAACCCTACATCACAAAACATCGCTCGTCAGGGCTGTCGGTGGTTGGGCATTTGTAATACATGTCCCAACTACAATTGACCTAAGATCATACCAAGTATTCATCTATCATTGATTTACATCAAAACTAAACTGTATCAGTTGAAATTTTCGATTTAACATAAAACCAGTCAAAAATATTGAACGAAAAATGAAAACACATCAAAAAAAAAATATAAGAAAATATATAAATGAAAAGTAAAAAAAATAAGTATTAAGAATTTACCCTAAAATCAAATCTGAATGCATGAATGAATGGACGAATGAATGAATAACATAACATTTCCACACAACAATTATCATCAATTTGAAAGCCTTATTCTAGAAGTTTAAACTTTTTAGGATTTAAGCTTATTTTGAATAACAGTATATGATGATGCTAAATTAGAAGACAGCCTGCCCACACAAACTCAATTCAATCAATCGATAGAATTTCATATACTAATCAAATGATTTATCTTTACATTTGCTTAAAAACATTGCACATTTAACAATTTTATCACATATCGATAATAATCCTGAAATACAAACAAATAAATACTTGTGGTGGTGTTTCGTTCTCTGAGCTGGTTGTTTTGGTTGTGAAGCTTTGATTGCTGTTCTTCTGAACAACATCATCAGCACAAACTTCAGATAGAAGAAGTGAAGCATTCGAATTTCTCCACGTTTGATCTGTAACTTGTTCTGCTAACCTCAGAAGAACAATGAAAGCTCCACAACCAAAACAACCAGCTCAGAGAACGAAACACCACCACAATCATCCACCTGAGCTACAAGTTTTCTCCACCAAATAAATACTTGCTTGTAAGTATATACTTCAACCTTTGTCGATAACGTCTCATAGCTGGAGAATAACACATAACAGACGGTTATATAACTGAATTTAACATTAACATAGAAGGAGTTTAACTAATAAAAATTCCATTTTTAAAGATAGTAAGAAGTTTATAATAAATAATTTACGAACACCTTTAGTTCCTGTCAACTGATTAAAAACACCACTAACTTTTATACACTATTGAGAACGACAGTGTGGTAGGAAAATGTTGAAAAAAAATCTCAATCCATTGGCATATATCTTAAAAAATATCAGAACTTACTTATATTCTTCAAAAATCGGTGTATTACATATTAAACGTTCATGAATAAGATCGACTGGATTATCAATCAAATATAATATACGAATCCATGCTTCTTTTACATTTTCATTTGGCATATCCGATGGAATTAATTGAGTGAAAGAGAGATAAGCTAAATGAAAATGAAATAAAATTGTATTGATTGACTTGAAGATTATTATAGTGTGTATAATATACAATGATGTTTGAAACAAAAGATACTGGGTTCAAGTCTCAATAGCGAACATGAACACTAAGTGTAAGTACATTGTGTGAACGAGTCCTAAGTAGGATAAAATGTACATTCTGAATACAACTGTAAGCCAAATATGAAATGTACTGCAAAAATACTTGTGACTTAACATCAATCTAGAGACAATCCAGTTAGGATGAACATATAGTGATCGTATTTGTATAATATTCAGAATCACATACATGAGTGAATTAATCCAAATGTTCTACAGCAACTGTGTCAGATAAAATTCAACAGAAACAGACCGATAAGAAAGAAAGACTATTATTATCTTATGTTGATATAAGATATTCGTAAGTCTGGATGTTCTGTTAACTGGTATGGTGAATTTTCAATCAATTAATAGCAATGTAGACTTCGTACATACGTACATCAGTTCATGTTACCATACCACATAAGCACAGAGATGTAATTGTCAGTTCAAATCCCATAGTAGTAGAGGTAGTAAAGGTATTGGCAGTAATCGGAGAGATTAGGATTAGAAGATATTATTCAGGAAGTAGAATTTAATGAAGTAGACTTGAAAAAATAAAGATAAAGTGATGAAGAATTAAAAAGTTTAGGATTTGAGAGAATACAAAGGATGAATGCATCTGCGCCATTGCAAACGGTTTTGAGCCATGTCATTCAGGGTCTCTAACTATCGATTATTATCATCTCGCGGACCCCAACCAGGTAGTCGACACCTACGGACATGATTTAGTCCACTTGTCCTAGTGAATTTCGGCTATAGACGAACCATATTTCTTGAAAATGTTGATATTCTACTTTCCCGATAGGTTGGCTACTGATAAAAAAAACTATCATTTGAGTGAAAAAGTAATAAGTGATCATTGAACGTATCATATGTTACATTTTTCACTTGATTTTGTCACAGACTACTAAAAAAAGAGATAAATTAGTAGCCTATACGTCCACGATTTTTTCTAGTTTGTTTTTTTGTTTATAATACAGGTCACTAAGAAATCCAGCAATCAAAGTCAAACGAAGACACTGAAAAGCTGAAATTATCGCCTAACTTTGTGGTGTAATCCGAAATAGTTTGAGATACGCTCAACGTCCGAATTCTGTTTTACTCTATCACTTAAATCAACATAACATCAATCAACTAGGAGAGGATGGTCTGAAGGCATTGGTTGTCAGAAAAATTATAGCGATGCATAAACTTTCTTTATCTGCCCTATACATATATATATTTATAAAGTAAAAATTACCATTTAGGTTAGTGGATTTATTTATTATGCCAAGTACAGTAGCGGACAATGCTACAGAAACACGAGACCATTCTCTAATAAACGCATTATGATGTCGCCATACTCTTGAGCATTCTCTGAATGCAGACCAAAGTTGCGGCTTCGGAAAACAATAAACGCATGCTTTTAGCCAAGTACTGAATAATAGAGTAGAGACACAATCTGATATGGCTTCAAATAAAGCAGATGAATCCTTGATACTTCTAACATCTGAAATATTGAGTTGATTTGACGAAGTATTCGTAGAATTAGATCCACCAACAGTATTAGTGATCTGAGATGCGCCAGCAGATGACTGAATTGATCCTGATGGTAAATGTAAAGGTGGTGATAGAATAGCATGAGATATAATCAGACAAAAGCGTAATATACAATCCCAGGAATCAGATGTTAATTGAGTTGGTACTGAGCATAATTCTTTCACTGCAAGAGCTACCAGTTTGATAATTTCTAACTGCCTACTCATCAACGTTGATAAGTGTATTGACTCGGTCACTAAAATATATATATATAAGAAAAATGAAACTGAATAATAAAAAATAATGTAAATAAACAAAACTATGAATAAAAATAGCACCACAGTAGTGGCTAGAAACTGTACAAATTTAAATTGTATGATCTATCGTTTAAGTAAAAATTAGAGTAATTGGAATAATAATAATAATAATAATAACACCAGGAGATCAGTAAAACTAATGTAAACTCGAGAAGTACTAACAGTATTTATCCTGATACTTTTATAGATACTTTATAGATGTCTTTGAAGCATCGGTTGTGTATCCTGGGACAACCAAGTAAGCAATGTTATAGTTAGGGAACGAGTACTAGGTAGGGATGGCAAATCAATAGATGAAGTATTGAAAGTTCATCAGTTGAATTGGTTCGGACATGTGCTATGTATGCCCGACCACTGACTGCCTTGTCGAACGATGTATTGTAGTGTATGAGTAGGTTGGAAGAAAGCTAGGAGTGGCCAAACCAAAACATGGAACAAATCCATGAAGTCACTGACAACTGGATTGAGTCATGTTGGTAGATGTAGGCTTCCTGGTTGGGGTCCGCGAGACGAAAGTCACCAATGGTTAGAGACCTTGAACGACATGGCTCAAAATCGTTTGCAATGGCGCAGGTGCATCCACTCTTTGTGTCCCTTCAAATCCTAACCTTTTGAATTCCTCATCATCTCTATATTTCTGTTTCTAAATTTATCTCACTGAATTATACTTCTTGAATCATATATGTGAACCCTAGTCTTCTTCATTACTCCATTACCGCAAATACCTGGACTATCTCGAGTACTATGGGATTTGAATTGATAGTTGCGTCTCTGTGCCAATGTGGTATGGCAACCTGAACTAATGTACATACGTACGAAGTTCTACGTTGTAACTCACTAACTGAGTGATACTTTTACACGAAACTAAAATGTTACAATACTATTAATATGGATTATAAATGACAGTAACATATTTAAATTATGAATACAGTAAAAATTACCAGTGTATCTTAAGAAATCATGTCAAAACTAATTTCACTACATAAATTGATACATTTAGAGCATTCTGAGACGTTGTAAAGATTCTCAGCAATGTTATCATTATCTGTTAATACTGCATTATTTCAATAGAATAAATCAATGGAACTTTTGAAGTTACAAGAAAAAGCAAGGTAATTCTGAAATAGTTATGTAGAATTATTAGTTTCAGTTTTAGCCAATGATTTTCTTCAATGAACTTCGTCATGTTTCACAAACTTAAACTAAATATATTAATATTTTAACCATTTCTACCATTATTATACGACAATCTCGTTTGGCAAAATGGAAGTTTCTACTATTATTCACACAAAATACTAACTGACTTCATGTTAGGATGTTACAGCACAATGGTAACACAATGCAAAGATCTCGTGAAAACTGGGAGTTGTCACAACTACAAACCAGCTAAACATTATAATTACCTGATCATGAGAGGACTGAAACAATATCAAAAATTGCATGATGATGGTCTCTAATTTAAAAACAGCACGGCTGAAATTGTTAGTCATCTAATGACACGAACTAAGACTGTTAGGATGCTTATTTACAGTGAAGAGATTATCATTAATACAATATAACTTCTGAAGACATTGATAAAACATTAAATAAACCATTTATTTTGACAAACTAAAACAGAAATAATGTAAAACAATATTTATGACAAAAATCAATAAAAAAGGACTAGAACTTTAACCTGTAAAAGATGAAGTCTCTGATGAGGAATCAGTACTTGATGAATATTGTGGCGTTGTTAAACTTCGACCAAGTGTTGAAAACATCAATTTTGGTTGATCACTTAGCGGTTCTGGATCACGTGGCAGGAAATAATAAGTAAGAGAGAATAGAAGCGATTTTAAGAAACGCTGTGGTTCTTTTTGTAAGATCAATGGAACTGGTGCATTTGAATTGATTGTTTGCGTGGAATGCATAGAAGAATTAAGAGATTTAATCCAATAACAATAAATATGTACACTATGTTTGATAACATCCCAATTTTCAAATGACATAGTCAATCCATAAGTGATAGCCTATGTAATAGAAATAAAACGACTTAAAAATTCGATTTACATTAAGATAAAACCGATTTAATTAATTGTGAAGTATGTTGTATGTAAATACAATTTTGCTCACAACTGTCTGACTAAATAGTAATGATACTAGTACTTATAATCATCCTATAAAGTATATATATATATATATATATATTTGAAACCATGAATCGATCAATGTTAGACCACCATTAGAAACCTGGAAGCACTGGACGGCCGTTTCGTCCTGGTATGGGACTCCTCAGCAGTGCGCATCCACGACTCCTGCACCCCGCAGGATTCGAACCGTTAGATACCGTTAGATACCGGCTCAGTGGTCTATCGGTTAGGGCGTTCGCGCACAATACCGAAGGTCCTGGGTTCGAATCCTGCGAGGAGCAGGAGTCGTGGATGCGCACTGCTGAGGAGTCCCATACCAGGACGAAACGGCCATCCAGTGCTTTCAGGTTTCTAATGGTGGTCTAACATTGATCGATTCATGGTTTCAAAAATGTGTAACTTAACAATCTTCACAACCCCGTAATGCATATATATATATATATATATATATATATATATATATGTATTTCCTCGTGGAAAATCGACTCGACAATATTGTTGCAATTAAAATATTGGTCGAGACAAGAATTACTAGCTGATCAAGTGCTTACTTTAAAATTTGAGAAAAAACCAACGATATAATTACATAATCAAAACTAATGATTCACGATCCGACACCTAGAAATGGTTAATGCTTAAATTAGGAACTCAAACAAAAGTAGAAAGGATTAAAAAGTTTTAAATGAAACGTTTACGTGATTGCAATCAGAATACTTATAAACTTGACTATAATTCAAAGTACTCTGATCAAACCAACTGAATAGCATTGCTTACTAGTATATAACAGGTGTAGTTAACAGCCTTGTAAATAAATGGATAGGTGCCTAGCTGCAGATCAATCTCCTAAAATCAGTAGCCCAAATAATGAACTCTCAATCGATAAGCTAAAAATTAACACTATACACTTTAAATATACAAATTTATTACTCTAAGAGAAAATCAATCGAATTGTAATACACTAACAATTAACGCTGTAAAATTACACATGAATCATACAGTGATAAGTGAAAAAAAAAAGTTTTATAAAAATCATAGTTTAAACGTACGTGCATAACCCAACGCAATTCATCAGGAGAATCAAAACGTACTACGGAAGTTTGACCAGAAAAAGATGAACGTGGATTTAGTACTGAAGAGATACTTTGAGGCAAAGATATAGATTCACTTCGATGAGAAGCAGAACTATCATGTGTTGTATCAGTACTGGGAGACACTACATCACCAGACGATGATGACAGAAGAGTACATGCACAATCGCACTAAATTCGATCAGGATAAATTCCGGCACAAATAGGAAAAAGATAAAAGACAGTTTTACTAGTTTTGAATCAGTTATCATTTAAGTAATTTGCATCGCCAACTTACAAGAATTTATATAACATTACAAACACAATGTAAGGTAATTGAAAGTAGTTGATAAGAAACTGGAATTAGGTTTCGCACCATTTAGCACTCGTAAACAAGACGTGAGACTGTAATATTGAAAGAATTGATACTCTTCGCGGAGTTAGCACCAGCGTGACTCAGCTTCACAGTCTGAGATGCTACCACCGAGTCATTGGGTCCATGACTAACCTCCAGTAGGACTACTTGGCGATTAATCAATCATACGAAAATACTTAAAAGAATGTGATTGAATATGGACTCGGAAAATGAGACTTATTTATGTCATTTTCAGAGAATACGATTCGGAACAGCTGAAAATCACCATTTATTTGGTCATTTACCTTTGTTTTGATTTATACCATTTTTGGAAAGAACATTTCACTCATCAAAACACACTCTGTATGATTGATAGCCTTCACGTTAAAATGGTATATACTATTCAAAACAAGTAACCAAATGTAGAACTGCTACTACAGATAACTTGCAGTAGTAATACTGTGGTGCGCGCTACTTATGAGTAGTATATGACGCGAGTGTAAACGTAATGTCTGGAAGCAGAAGATGGGGGAAGATCAAGAAAGGAAGAGTGAGAACACAATGGAATTTGTATGAAACTCATGAATAAGTGAAATGTCAGACAATGGATTGAAGATTTGCAAATTAACGGTTACGACATGGTTTTTCTATTTTACTGAGTAACTCTGTAATTTTCGTTAAATACAATTTGGTTGCCCTCACCTGTGTTCTCCTTCACTACAATACTGCTTTTATTTTCTTCGGCTCTTATTACTAGCATGCAGTTTGACCTATTGTATAAACGTATCACGGAAATATAATCCAAATACAGGACCTCGATGAAAGAGTTTATCAACCTCGATTAAATAATAGCTTAACAATTATAGGACACAAGTTTCACTCTTCCTTAACCTAATTCGGTATGAGCAATTCTATTTAGTATCACTAGTGTTGAAACAAAATCTGTGGATTTAAGCTAAATAAATAAATGATTGCCGAATACAATCTAAATATTTGCATTAGGTGTGTATTCAAAAGACGAACATATGAACATTTTCAAATGATCAACACAAAATAAAGTCTATGAAATGAGAGACGACCCATATAATTCAATGGAAGGTTGTTTATGCCAAAACAATTAAATGCGAAAAATAAGGTAACGTGATAGTGATGACGAAAAAAATAAGTGATAGAAATGATAGTTTCAATATTTTTGAGTATCTTTGAAGAAATCAACATTCTGAAAGTTAAACAGCAACAACTAACTATAAAATGGACATGACGATATATTCAAGTAATAAAGATTCCTTTAGAAAAGCTTATCCACACTGATAAGGTTGTCTAATACTCCCACTTCAGATGGAGCTTATTGTTATGGTGTTATAAGATTCTTGATGACAAACATAGTGTTGGTGTCATTACGATGAACAAAACCCTGGTCATTAGATGATGAGTAATGATAAATAAGATATGACTGCTTGCGAAACGGAAGCATAAATGGAAGCTTCTGAAGTAACGGATATAAAAAAAATCATTCAAGTGACCAGCTGTATAGAGTTGTCTCTCCTGTTATTCTCATAGACAAACTATTGAATACAGTTACAGAATAAGTACCAGTTATTTGAAATTCAATTGATCGAAAGATATAGATTTGATACGTAGAACGACGCAGTCCGATTTTGTTACAGTTTTTTTCAATGATAGTCCGAGATGGGCAATCATAAGTAATTCAATTATTAGGCTTTCGGAAAAACAAATATTTTTTATGATTGTTACTGAGGTTTTTTCCTTACCTTCACACTCATTACAGTACTGGCGGCTATAGAGTTTGCAACTTCGACAGGAAACAAACGCAAGAAACTTTCATGTTCAATAAGTTGATTGTATGTAGAATGAAGTTCAGGAGACCAGCCTTTGTATGCGTCTGAGGATAAAAAAAGGAAATTCAGTAAACATGTAACCAAAACTATGTATAGTTTTAGTCGAATATGACTCAGTTTCGTAAAGTTTGCTAATGAATACACCTTCTTAACAAGCACAGACCTACGGAAAAAAAGGTTAGACTAAACAATAAACTTTAGGATAAACAGAATTATAACCTGAGATAATCTTCAATCAATAAAATTCAAACATTTACGCTTGCCAGGTAGTTATGACAACAAACGAGGACTTTCAGCTTTTATCATACAATGAGAATGGGATTTGAATTAATAATTGCATCTCTGTGCTAATATGGTATGGCAACTTGAAGTGATGTATGTACGTACGAAGTTCTAGGTTGTAACTGACTGATATACAATGAGAATTGTCAATTAAACACCCACAGAAATCACATATTACTTCTTATCATCATTAACTACTAAAATTTGTTACTGATATGCTATCTAAGTGATTTCCTCTGCCAATAAAATAACCAAGATATCAAATTATTATAGTCGGCTACTGATACGAATCCAGACAAAACTATTTTTGAACTCTTCGTAGATCACATAATTTCATTATATTTCCTCCTACAAATAATAATTCCTTTATATAACTTTTCAAGGATTAATCTCTCTTTTGGGAAACTTAATCATCGATGTGAATTATGCAGATGACCTAGTTTTGTTTAATGAAGTGACATAATTAAGGGTCTTCTGAAAGCCTTGAGTAACCATAGATTGGAGTATATTTTGCTCCCCATAAATTCTAAATGTTTTAAGACTGGTTTGCATTAACGCTTAGATTAATGATAGCAAATGAAGTATTTAAGTGTGTTGATCACTTAAATCATTGTGGGATCTTCATCAACCCTGGTGAATGACATGGAGCAGATGCATCCATTATTTGTCTTCTATCTAATTATAATCTAAGGAATTCATCATGACCGTTTTCTCTTCTCAAATTCATTCCATTCGATCATACTTCTTGAATAATATCTTCGAACCATAATCGTATATATTACCACAAATGCTTCTACCACATCTACTACTACGGGATTTGAATCGATAGTTTCATCTCTGTGTAACTCAAGGATGGTAACTTGAACTGATGTACGTACACATTAAGTTCCACGTTGCAGCTGGCTGACTGAACATAACAAAAACATCTCTGTACTCATCTCCGAAAAATTGGTGCTGTAGTGTATATGAGACCAGGTACCTTAAACATGGATTACTTATTTTGCGATCGGAGCATGATTTAAATACATCTGTTATAACATACGATAGTGACTGGTACGTTTTCTACTTTGACAGACCGTTTCACAACCAAAGAGCAGTCGTATCGAGGTCCCTAATTGTATCATGACAGAAAACGGCCACAATTTACTATTAAGTAACAAGGATAAGGAGAGATCGGTACACAGTGCATTTTCTCACCAGCGCTACATATTTCAAGTCAATTTTATCAGCTTTTATCTTACAAATAAACTCTACAACCTGGGATTAAACAAAAGCAACTTGTAACGATCAAAAGCCGAATAATGTGGTTACTACATCATAAAACCAAAACCATGGTAACTATTCTGAGAGACTTACTTAAATCCATTTTTTAAACCCAACACGATAGATAGATCGACCCAACAAAATCAACCAGAATTAGTAAAGGCCTGTTGTGTAACCTGAAAACAAAGAATGTGAGGAAAGGTGTACACTACGATCCTCGAAAGATAAACGACACAATACAATAAGTGTGTGGTGGACCAATCAATATATTATTTCAAAATATTAACAAAGTTATTGAATACCAATAAATGTATATTGAAATATATCAGTTAAATGTGATAAATACAATAAAAATATGAGGACGTTACTGTATACTGCTGCTTGTGCGTGTTCGATTGTGATTGGTAATTTAATTCCACAATTATAGAAATGTAAGTGATCCAAATAGTATAATTATCCGTAGAGTAGCATATATGTATGACTGCAGTCTATAAAGTAGATAATATATGTATTAGACTCGAGATAGCCTGTTAATGAACGAACTGAGAACATGAGATGTATGTATAAAGTGTATTTGGTTGGATATGGCAGTGAGTGCCATGCTGTGTACAATGAACGGAAGCTGGGAGCAGTATGTATGCCTGATATATATTCAAGGACACACACTTAAACAAAAAATGTACAACAATTTCATGGTGAATGTACAAGCTGTGAAAATTAACCGGATAAATACAAACAGTATCAAAAACTATCTCCACATAGCTTCTTCCTAGAGTGTCCGGAGGTAACACTGGTTATATTACAAAAAAAAATATGTGAGAGTACAGTGTGTGCATTCATGTAATGAAAAAAGGTAATGCAAGTAAGTGAAGAATGGTATGACATGTACATTAATATTATACAATGCGTTAATGTAAAAATAAAACTAGGGTGAATGTTGCATGACATGCCAAAAAAAAAAGGAAAATATAGTCACACAATGTTTTGGTTTGTTAATGAAAATAACAACGTGCAAAGCTATTGATAAACACACACACACAGAAATTGGATTGTTTATTTTCATGTAAAAAAAATAGTTTTTTTAAAAAAAAATAGAATTAACTCGTTAATTGTAGTGTAAAAAAAATAATGTGACAACACGAGTAATTGCGAAAAATATGGTTTATTATATGCACGTGTTAGAAGACTAAAAAGGTATAGTAGTTTTTATTTAGGAGATTGAGTAGTTTTAACAATATAACGTATATTAACAGTAATTTGTGGAATTCCTCTTTTTTAATCAGCGAAATGTACATAGCGTTTATGTTTATTCACGGCTCTGCCGAAACGTGTTAAGCAAGGAGGCTTAACGGTCGGTTTTTGCTCCTCTACTGCTTTCTTGATGCTTTGCAGCAGGTTTTGTTTATCAGTAGTGTTGCGTTCTTTGTCAGGTTGAATCTCGTAGAAGGCTGGTTTCATTCTATCGATAGCGATAGTTTCCTTCTTTCCACATTTGTTGATAATGAAATGTTTATTGGTTCGTTTGATTACCTGTTATGGTCCATCGTAAGGTTGTTTCAATGGCTTTCCAACCGCATCGACGCGAACGAAAACATATTTGCATGTCGTCAGGTTTTTGTCAAGATGTATGCGGTTATTATGCTTCCGCGGCGGTATGGCCTTAATGCTCTGCATAGTTTGGAGCAGTCGACTAGCAAATCGGCCTCGGTCGCTTCATGCCGATGTGTCTGTGTATACCAATTGCCATGGCAATGTAAGTGTTGTGCCGTAGACCAGCTCAGCAGAAGTACATCCGATGTCCTCCTTCATGGTTGAGCGAAAACCCAGGAGTACGACGGCTAATGGACCAACGATGTCAAGATGTACGTGTAGCGAGTAGTTCACGTCCAAAGGTGCTGTAACGTTCTTGTGTCTGTGACAATCGTTTAGAAAAGAACGCTATGGGCGTGATGACGTCGTTTACCTGTTGTTGTAGCACTGCCCCGACAGCTTTCTGAGACGCGTCTGTGCATAGAATTAGATTGGTCGTGGGTTCAGTGTTGAGGTGCTGTAGCATAGTAGCGTTGGATATGAGAGACTTTGCTCTCTCGAATGCAGTCTTAGCAGCGATCGGTAAGTTGAATATATCATTTTTAGTTTTCTTCGTCTCTTGGTTATCAGCTTTTAACAGGTCAGTTAAAGGTTGTAAAGTTTCTGCGCAGTGTGGTAGGAATCGTCGGTAGAAATTACACATTCCAAGGAAACGGCGTAATGACTTTGATGAGGTATGTTCAGGATACCTCACGGCTACCTCACAACGTAACCATTAATTCAGCCAACCTGACCGAGTTAGCCGATATGGCCGACAAAATAATTGAAATCTATCCAGACAGCCAAGTTGTTAACTGTGTACAAACTAGCAGCATAGATAATGTGTATAATGTTATTAGCCTTCAACAACAGCAAATAGCTCAGCTCACAAATCAGATTGATTCACTACGAGCCTCGATAGCTATGATTAGCACGAAACCAACTTCATCTTTTCCTAGAAGAAGGTCAGGATCCCGACATCGCTCTAGATCTCCGAAAAGACCAACTGGCGTTTGTTGGTACCACCAGAAGTATGGTGAGAAAGCGCGACGTTGCACAAAGCCGTGCACTTTCCCTGCAAGCAGTCAAGAAACACAGGGAAACTGGCCTGCCAGACAGTGATGGCGGCGACTGCTTCTGGCCATGCTGCAAGCCGTCTTTTTCACATCAGGGACAGGATTTCGGGCTCAGACTTCTTAGTCGATACAGGAGCCGAAATAAGCATCATCCCTCTCCAGCTCTCCCGACGGCAACACATCACTCACAGCAAGATAACACTCCAGGCAGCGAATGAAAGAATCATCCAAACTTATGGGGAACAGTCCCTAATACTCGACCTTGGTCTCAGACGACGTTTCACATGGGTCTTTGTAGTAGCAAAAGTCAAACAGCCGATCCTTGGAGCAGATTTCCTCACTGCTTATAATCTGCTAGTAGACGTGCGTGCCAAACGACTAGTCGACAATCAGACACGTCTACACGTGAACGGCATAACTAACAGCATTTACGAAATCCATGGAGTACGTTTAATTAAGCCTATTAATCAACCTTTCGCCGACCTCTTAACTAAATACGATGGCATCACCAAGGTTGACTATCGGAAGGAAGGCACTGTACATCACGTACTTCATCACATTACTACTACTGGTCCTCCCGTCTGCGCAAAACCAAGGCGACTGCCCCCACATGAACTTCAAATTGCGAAAAAAGAATTTGAGCACATGATGCAGCTGGGTATCATCCGCCAATCAAACAGCCCATGGGCTTCGCCACTACACATGGTTCCAAAGAAAGATCAGGACTGGCGCCCATGTGGCGATTATCGACGTTTGAATAATCAAACGACACCAGACAGATACCCCATTCCCCATCTTCACGATTTTTCACTTAACTTACACGGAAAACATTTCTTTTCAAAACTTGACCTGGTAAGGGCATATCACCAAATCCCGGTGGCACCAGAAGATATCGGAAAAACAGCCATTATCACACCTTTTGGTTTGTTCGAGTTTTTGAGAATGCCATTCCGGTTAAAAAATGCAGCCCAAACGTTTCAACGATTTATGGATGAAGTGACTATAGGTCTCGACTTCGTTTTCGTCTACATAGATGATGTCCTTATAACTAGCGCATCGATCGAAGACCATGTTCAGCATCTACAAACCCTCTTCGATCGTTTCCAACAGTATGGAGTTGTCATTAACCCTTCAAAATGCATCTTCGGCGCTCCTGCCTTTGAGTTTCTAGGACATTACATAGACTCACAAGGCATAAGACCACTACAGGAGAAAGTTGACGCGATCATCAACTATCCTGAACATACCTCATCAAAGTCATTACGCCGTTTCCTTGGAATGTGTAATTTCTACCGACGATTCCTACCACACTGCGCAGAAACTTTACAACCTTTAACTGACCTGTTAAAAGCTGATAACCAAGAGACGAAGAAAACTAAAAATGATATATTCAACTTACCGATCGCTGCTAAGACTGCATTCGAGAGAGCAAAGTCTCTCATATCCAACGCTACTATGCTACAGCACCTCAACACTGAACCCACGACCAATCTAATTCTATGCACAGACGCGTCTCAGAAAGCTGTCGGGGCAGTGCTACAACAACAGGTAAACGACGTCATCACGCCCATAGCGTTCTTTTCTAAACGATTGTCACAGACACAAGAACGTTACAGCACCTTTGGACGTGAACTACTCGCTATCTACCTCGCGGTCAAACACTTCAGCTTTTTATTACAAGGACGTCCGTTTACTATAATGACTGACCACAAGCCTCTAAGCTACTCATTTAACGTATCATATGATCGACATTCACCTCGGGAAGCCAGACAACTTGATTATATTTCTCAGTTTACCACAGACATCCAGTACATCAAAGGACATAGCAACGTCGTCGCCGATGCCTTACCACGCAGGGATATCAACACAGGATATTAATCTTGAAACACTTGCAAAACTTCAAGTAGACGATGCAGAACTGGAAGCCTGCAAAGAAAAGTCTAACTTGATCCTCAAACCGGTACCTATCCCTTTCTCCAACGCATCGATAATCTGCGACGTCTCAACTGGAAATCAGCGTCCCTTTTTACCGCAATCCTGTCGACGACAAGTATTTCGACAGTTACAAGAACTTTCACATCCGGGAATCCGAGCCACCACTAAAATGATCACGGAACGCTTCGTTTGGCCTAAAATCAACTCGGATGTAAACGTTGGACCAGAAGCTGCTTACAGTGCCAACGTAGTAAGGTACAAAGACACACATTAAGTGCTGTTGGTAAATTCCCGCTTCCTGACAAACGCTTTCAACACGTACATCTAGACATCGTTGGTCCATTGCCACCATCCAACTCCTTCACTCATATCCTCACCGCGGTGGACAGATTCACACGATGATCGATAGCATGTCCAATCGCAGATACAAATGGTATCAAAAACTATTTACAAAATAAGTTTGTCGTGCCATCTCCACAAGTGTAGCTTAAAAACGATTATAAAATAAAAGGAGGATTCGCTC